TACTTTAAAATTCTGTTTATGCTGTATGTTTACCTGGAGTTGTTATTTTTAACAGTCTTCGCATTGCCAAATGCTTCCAGTACTGGATTGGACTAAAGAAAAAGAGTAAAAATAGATTCTAAGTATTCGGATAAATCTATCAATCAGTTTCAGTAAAATCTATTAACCATTTTAAGGATAGTGGACACCTTTAACTTACCTCCAAAACTTGTTGCTCGACTGTCCTACCTTCCGTTCCTGACCGACCGCCCATAAAAGCGAGATACCTCATAAGCATTTTAGTTGTCTCGGTTTTTCCAGCCCCACTCTCGCCACTCACCAAGATGGACTGGCTTCCATGTTCATTGATTATTGCCCTGAGTGAGTAAAAGAACGTGAAAAATTAGAGTTTGTAATGGACTTAAGCTGAAAGTATATAAACCAACCAAGACTTCACCTGTAACAGGCATCTGCAACTGCGAAAAGATGGGGACTGAGCTCCCCAAAAGCAGCTCCTTTGTACTGTTGCATCATGTGTATATCATACAAATGGGGCAACCTCCGGAAAGGGTTCACTGCTATTAGTATATTGCCCGTGTAAGTCTGCAGATTTTTAAAATAGTTATAATTGGGTTTGTATATGCACTATTTCACATTTCGAATCACATTATTTTCTTGATTTTTCTGGGTATTCTGCTAAAATTCACTTACATAAATCTCATTGATGGCGAACCTAGATGCGAGGTTGTATAAGACTCCAGGCTCATGGAGGTAGGCTAACTTGGTCATATCATCTACCCCGGCTGGGGGTGCCTCCGTGTCCTTGGGGTATATGCTTGAAATAGATGCAACTATCTGAAATTTAAAGACAGGTAAACAAATGTTCAGGCTAGATTCCAATCTTCTGCATGTTTGAATTTGCTCGGAAACCGGTAAATTTCTGTAGCCCAAGCTAAGAGCCAAATCTGTTTTAGGCCTCGTTTGGATTGATGGACTACGAGTTGAGAATTTCTGTTCCCTAATAACATCTTGGGGTTGTTTGGATACAATTACACTATACAAAGTATATTTTAAGTCCTTGGTCTGCTTTTTGAATCATTCTGTAGGATTTTAATGTCCATCTTGGATTGAGTTATTTGAAATACCCACCTCAAACACGATTTTTGCATTCTTGGATTATCCTTAATTCGTTTCTGTTGCATTCAACCAATTCATATCTGGCAAATTAATCCGGAAGACCAAGGCAGTTTGACATTGAAAGCACCTAATTCAATTGCTATTATATATTTTAATTTTAATTTCCTTTTTTTTTTTTTTTGC